AAAATATTAGTTTCCAGAAAAATATTAAACTTCAATATATCAGTAAGAAAAACTACACCCCCAAAATGGCCATGAACTGGCAATTCACAGAATGAACTTTAATGGATAAAAAATAAGAGGGAAAAAATGTTTGACCTCACTAGTAATAAGTGAAATGCAAATAATGAGAAACAATTTCATACCAATGTGGGTTGACAAAAATTTTTTTTTTCTTTCTTTGAGACGGAGTTTTGCTCTTGTTGCCCAGGCTGGAGTGCAATGGCATGTTCTTGGCTCACCACAACCTCCATCTCCTGGGTTCAGGTGATACTCCTGCCTCAGCCTCCCAGGTAGCTGGGATTACAGGCACGCGCCACCATGCCCAGCTAATTTTTGTATTTTTAGTAGAGACGGGGTTTCTCCATGTTGGTCCGGCTGGTCTTGAACTCCTGACCTCAGGTTATCCATCCGCCTCAGCTTCCCAAAGTGCTAGGATTACAGGTGTGAGCCACCGCGCCCGGCCGACAAGAATGTTAAAAATGTGACAGTATCAGGTGTTGGTGAGATGTGGTGAGATGAAAATTATCATTATTCCCTCATTATACTTTAGAAAGCAATTTGACAATATCTAGTAAGGTTGACTACTGTAGACCTAACAATTTCATTACTAGGTGCATGCCTCTGGGAAACTTGCATACGCTATAAGGAGATAATATACAAGGATGTTCATTATAGCACTATTCACATTAGCAAGAAATTCGAAATGATATTTCTATACAGAGAAAAATGACAAATTATGATACATTCTTAATTTTATATAACAGTCAAAATGAATGACTTAGATACTCAAGTATAAACATGAATATCTAATATATCATTTACCTGAAAAAATCAATACGCAGAATGCTACTTATATAGTACAATAGCCTTAATAAAGTCTAAGAACCACACAAAACATATATTTCTGAAATACGGTCTATAATAAAAGCATAATGTAAAAATGTAGATAGAAACATCTCACACCCAGGATAGTGGTTGATATTGGTTACCTTTTAGGAGAGAGGAAGGAAATGGGTTATGGGGAGAAAACAAAATAACTACATCTGTAACATTCTGTTTCTCAAAAGAATTAAAGCAAGGAAGGCCACTTAAGATGTATTAAATTTGGGTGGTAGGTACATGGATATTTTATTATTCTCTGTGATCTTTCATGAAAACTTCAAAACATAGTAAATGAATGCAATTTAAACAATTCTTAAGAGTCATGATGATGATGGTAAGTCTAGAATAATGAAAAATAGTAATGCAAAAACAAGCTCTACTGTTAACTGGCACACAAAAATGGAAAACTGCTTATAGAAAAACCAAGAAGACATTTAAATAATCCACACAATTCAAAATTATAATCCATGTAATCCATCAGCAGTAAGATTGGAATTGTATTCGATAATATTACGTATTTACAGATGTGGAAAACATTACATGTCAACCATGCACATGAGATCAAAACTATCCAAATTAAAAGCTGAGGAAGCTAGGGTCGGGCACGGTGGCTCATGCCTGAAATCCCAGCACTTTGTGAGGCCGAAGTAGGCAGATCACTTGAGGTCAGGTGTTTGAGACCAGCCTGCCAACATGGCGAACCCCAGCTCTACTAAAAATATAAAAATTAGCCGAGTGTGGTGGCGTGTGCCTGTAGTCCCAGCTACTCAGGATGCTGAGGCACAAGAATCACTTGAACTTGGGAGGTGGAGGTTGCAGTGAGCAGAGACTGCCCCACTGCACTCCAGCCTGGGGGACAGAGCGAGGCTCCGTCTCAAAAAACAAACAAACAAACAAACAAAACTGAGGAAGCAATTAATAAAGCAGAATGAACAGAATCTCAGAAACCAGGTCAAAATTTTTCCGAAAAGCAACTGGTGCTTTTGAGGGGGTAGTTACAATATTTATCTGAAAATAAAGAGCCCCTAGAAATTGTATCCAAATTATGTTCAAAATTTGACTATCATTGAAGTGAAAAAAGTTAAAAGAACTCTGTGTATCAAGAAGATCAAGACTGTGTATCTGTGTATCTATATATTTGGAAAATAGTTTTAATAAGTCACAAAAATATTGATATCAAAATTTTGGTTTGGAACCAGAAGCATATTTCCAATGATGATAGTATGTTTTCCATCGTAGGTTACACAAAATAATCTGAGAATGAATATGGAGAGCTTACGTCAAACTGAGTCCATGTGCATCCGGTTTTCTCAACTAACAGAGGAAGCAAATAGCAGACATCATTCAAAACTACAACAGACTAGTTATCTATAATGAAATCCAAGCACGGTAAATATTATTTGATGAAATAACGAATCTATTAGTTAGTCCATTCCTAAGTTGACCTGACATAATGGAGGAGTTATTTATTCAATAGAAACCAGGTGAATGGAAAATATTTTTTTCTATTTGCTATATAAGCCTGAGTGCTAATGCCTTGGGAACCCATCCATATGGACATTAAGGTTCCTTTGTTCGTGATTTTACCTGAAAAGGCTTTTCTTCTTGCTCTATTTTATTCTGAGTCAGCTCTCAAGGTCTTTCAGGTATTAAAGCACAAAGAAACTTTATAGATTTTATCATGAAAAAACTGTTATACAGTAGTATGGAAAAAATCAGTAACATCAGAATAAAGTACTCATAAACATTTCTATCAACTCATCAATTCCTGCTATGAGCAAGGATTTCTTCTAATTTTCAATAACATCATAAACGATCACGTTGAAGACATATATACTGATAGAGATTTTCATCAGTCACATTTTGGACAAATATATTTGTAAGCAGATCTTTTTATTACAAACAAGTACAGATGCTCTCTGGCTTGCAATGGGGTTACGTCCTGATAAACTCATCCTGTCAAAAATATCATAAATGTAAAATGCAATTAATACCCCGATAAACCCATTGTAAAGTCAAACAACCACAAATCAAACCATCATAACTTGGAGACCATCTGTATAGTTTTCATTACATGAGATTTCCCATTTATCCCCTTTTCTCTTTAATTTTCTTCCCAACACTCCACCACCATAGAGAAATAGAGCAGTCCAGTGGCAGAGTAAAAGAACTATTCTGCCATTCATATCACAAAAGACTGATGTTAAGAAAATAATTCCTAAAAGCCAATGAAAGCAAATGACATCACAAGTCCTTTTGTGAAGCAATTAAGATATAAATAAAATAAATAACAATAAATAAAAATTAGTTGAGAAGCACAGTCCCTACAGATACTACTCAGATGAGGCTTTCTGAAAGCATCACAGATTCAACCTAGAATTTATAATTCTAGAGTTCCAGCGACTATACAGAGGGAAGTGTTAAATCTGAATCAAGTAATTGGGCAGTCAAGATGCCTAATGAACTCGGTGTCTAGATAATACGTAACAAGAACGATTCTAGGTGCATAGGAAAGAAAATAATTCATTACACCGTAACACTAAATGGCTTGCTTGTCTTGCAGAACCCTGGTTGAGAAAGGTTGCTCTAGAAGTGTTTGTTCATATATATGTCGAAACAATTAACCAGTGATGTGGCAACCAGATGACTGCTAAGTACAAATCCATCATTTGGATATGTAGTGGAAACAACTGCGTGGATTTCTGAAAACTTTTATTTCACAGACTTTTATTTTTGTCAGTTCTTTAAATCCTCTGCTCAGAGCACCATTGAGAATGACTAGAATGCAAAGCTTTTACAGCCCACCTGAAAACAGTATGAAATAAGTGAAGGGAAAAAGAAACCGATTTTAAGTTTTAATTACAAATTCTTGTCTAAGTATTGATTTTACAGAACAGTAAATGAGATGTAAATGATTGAGAAATTGTAAGTTATATAACAATGACTCTGAAAAAGGTGAGCTTCCGCCATAGATACCTGAGTACCTGATGCTACCACAGACTTACTCCTTTTAAGCACCAATTATTTTCTCCCATCTATGCCAGCTGTTGTTATTAGGAATCAAAATTATTTCTTGCACCAGGTAAAGTCTCAAGCAGGAGAGGAGATTGGAAGTCAAAGACAACATTAAGTTAGCTTTTACAAACTTGTTCCCAACATTGTCTTGAGGCTTTTCAGGGCCAGCCTGGTCTGAAAGCAAAACTCTACAGTGGTTGCACTCTGGGGTGAAGACATTGGCCCGTCTCTGCTCCTGCACCATGTCAGGGTACCTGGCTGCTGTACCAGCACCCTGCCTCACCTGACAAATTAATGTGCCAAATTAATGCTCTCTGTAACCAGAAACAGACATTCTCTATTGACTTTTCAGGACTGCAGAAAAAGTCACTTCATGTTACCGGAAATATGGCCTGGCATTTATTTTTATTTATTTATTTATTTATTTATTTATTTTTTGAGACGGAGTCTCGCTCTGTCGCCCAGGCTGGAGTGCAGTAGTGCGATCTCGGCTCACTGCAAGCTCCGCCTCCCGGGTTCAAGCAATTCTCCTGCCTCAGCCTCCTGAGTAGCTGGGATTACAGGCGCCCGCCACCACGCCTGGCTAATTTTTTGTATTTTTACTAGAGACGGGGTTTCACCCTGTTAGCCAGGCTGGTCTCGAACTCCTGACCTTGTGATCTGCCTGTCTCGGCTTCCCAAAGTGCTGGGATTACAGGCGTGACCCACCGTGCCCCGCCCCTGGCATTTTTAAAAACTAGTTTTTGGATCACTTAAAATATGTCAAATTTAGTGGAAAATTGAAAAAGATCTTTTTCTTCTTCCTTACAGAGTTCTTCAATTTGCCCTAAACCCTTTTTAAGCGCTTCCAGTAGTAACCATCAGGCGGGCAGACCAAAGATCCCTTTATTACATTAACAAATAAACTGGTAATTCCAGTGAGAGAGTTAACAAATTCTCAAGAGCTACCTCAGGAATTTTAACGTCACACTGTGGAGAGTATAAAATATTTTCATATGGTAGCTTAAATATGCAGTAGGATAACATTTTTAATGTGTTAATAAGATGTGATAAAAACATAAGTCTACAATGAACATATGTGAAAAAGATATTTAATTGCAAAATAGAAAAGTAGGCCAGAGTACAGTTTTAAGGGTAATTGCTTTTTTATACAGTATAGATAACCTAGAGGGATGTTAGGGTTAAACAGTTCATAAAGCAATAAAACATTGAAAAATAAAGCAAGAAAAAGGGGTCTGAAGTAATGTTTTACCAAAAAAAAAAAAGAAAAAGTGAACAGTCTGCCAGTGTTTAATGTCCATACATTGTGGAATTCAACAATACTGTGATGAGGGCAAGTCACAGCACAGACACTGAGCTTTCAAAGGGAAAAGTAGAAGTTACATTAGACATGTCTATTGCATCACTGTAGTACAAAAAGTTCCTGTTCTACATACAAAAGCAATTTTTTTCCATAAGAATAATTTCCTGGGGAGAAATAAGTCCATAAAATATTTCAGAAACCCATATACATTGAGTTTTCCAAAAACATTATCTTAAAATCCAGTGCCTTAAAGTGCTTTCATGTGGAAATCATGATGGAAGGCACAGAATACAGTTTCACGTCCCCACTATTAAATTTTCGAAAAAGCACAGATTTTGCAGAATTGGCAAATTCAAGTTATCTTGTAGGCTGCTCCTTCCGAGAACATTGTCATTCCAATAAAACCAGCTGCTAGCTTACTTAGTTTCAATGACCTATAGAGTAAAGGGGTTTTGCTTTTTTTTTTCCTGGTCACTTTCATCATTTCTGTGGGAGAAATACCTATGTAAGTGATGCATTTTGAAATTATAAAACATGCAGAATATGTACAAACAGAAATTTTAAAAAATATTTGCTTCATATACATGTAAATCTACTTGGGTATAGCTGAAATTGAACAAATATAAAAATTTTGCTTTCTAAAAAATGTTTTCAGAGAATCTGACACAACTTAAAGCTGTACAAAGATTTCCTGGGAGAAATCTTCTCTCTGTATAGAGGTTTATACCTATAGGAGTAATTCCAGCATCAGTCCACCATAATTATTACACAACATTTGCTCTAACCAGCAACGATCACCCTTAAAACTGTTCTGTTTCTGAGAAATTAAGGTTTGTACTAAAATCAAAAAGAATTCACAAAAACAGTGGCTTATTGTGGTTTTGGATCTCTTCAACAATCTTTATCAACTCATTTGGAACTGTAAAAAAAAAAAAACAAAAACTATTTACAGAATTCAGTTTTAAATACATTTCACAACTTCTAAAGTAAAGTTTTATGTTACAAGAATTCAGAGCTCATGGCTTAAGTCCAATTATCAATCTGTAGTCTCTTCTATCATTCTGTATTCCCATGGCTGTACCTTTGTTGTGTACAGTTCAAGACTGTATTCTTTCTTGACCAAAAGTAAAATCAAACTACATGTTCATTTCAATTAAACAGCTTCTTTATTAGTCTGAAGACGAGTCATAGCTTCCAACTTCTGTCTGTAGGCCTCTGCTTCCTGTTCTTTCTTTAGGAGCTGCTGTCGATATTTTTGTGCTTCTCGATTTGCTTCATCCAGCTGTTTCTGAAGAGCTTCTCTCTCCTAATTAAAAGAATAGGTTTTTTTTAATTTTGGCAAAAATACATTTTTAATACATATAGGCATGCATCCTTCAAATTAAAAAAAAAAAAAAAAACTGTAGTAGCTAAAAGTAGCCACCTACTGAAATTTCCTAGACATCTTGCCTTCTCAATCAATTCACTAATATTTAAGTCCCTAATTTTGTGCTCCACATTATGAGATATGGATCAGTTTCCGACCGCAAGGAAATTATTTTCCTATTTAGAAATAAGACTAACAGAAAGACTCCAAACTGGGCACCTGTACTTTTATACGTACTACAAAAACAAAGAGTTTTTAAGAGGGAAATACACAACCACACCTCTTTATATTTCCATTTGTTGTGCTCTTACCTAAAGGTAATAATTATAAAACAATTTTACTGAGCACCCACTATATGAGTAAACAGGGTGATTTCCAACAATAAGCTTCTGAGACAGATATTATGCACAAGTTACAGATGAGAAAAATGATGCTCAGGGATGATGTAGCTCTCCCAAGGTCACATACTAAGGAGTTAGATTTATAGGGTTCTAACATTACTGCTTTTAAAACTATTTTTCATTTACAATAGCAAGCAAGATAATTCACCTTTAAAATGAAGAGTGCTGATCAAGATCAGTATTTCCTAAATTACAGTTTCATAAACCAATAAAATACGAAATTATCAATGATTAAATTATATAGGTATAAAATGTATGTATTAAACTCCTCAGCAAACTGAGAGCTGAAACACAAATCCAATCCAATGAAAACGGTATTCTTTCTCCTCTTCCTCCTCACTCTGCCCCTATTCAGTTATTGCAGGAAAAACAAGGAGAAACATTTCAACGAACCCATTCCCACACCTCTAAGCAAGCACAAGGACAAAAGCTCAGCCTCCACAGACCAAAGCCCAAGGTTAGTTTCCATGGTCTTAGGAATGAAGCAACCTCATCACAGATGCCCAGGACCTCTGAGTAGGGTGAAGGCCAGGGTTCGGACTGTCACAAGAATGATGGGTCCGCAGTGGACAAGATAATTGGTCAGAGGGAACTAAAGGTAAGTGGTTGGCCGACTGCTGGGGAGGCACAGTATGAGGTTCTCTTTCTCTATATCCTATTCTGTGTATCCTCTGCCTCCTTGACTCTTGTCCATTGCCAACACCAAAGGATTCCTCACCTTCACTATTCACACGGTTGGTCCACAAGCAGGAGCATGTATAATCCCCCTGCCTTTCTGTGATTCCACTTCCTTCCCCACAATGGGAATGAAGCGAGATCCAACATTTCTTTTTCTCATGGGCCCACCAGATGTGGGAGTGATTCATTTGGAATCCAATTACACAAAATGTACAAGTAGAAGAAAGGAATGCCCCTTACCCCCAGTTTAAGCAATGCCCAGGCCCTATCCTGCTGCCTCCCAACACTTCTTCTCCCCTCCTCTTATCCTAACTCCAGCCAAGAGAGGAACAAGTCAGAAAAGACACCCTGGGATGAGTCCAAGGTAAGCAATCAATGCCAGTACCCTGGCTACGGACTGCAGGACTTTAACGACACCAATGGAAGGGGTGAGGGCTGGAAGGTTGGATGTTACTTCCCAGGAGCTAGACCACAGCTCTGGCAGGAGTGTCCACAGCCATGCATGTGTTTTAAAATGTTACGTGTGGCCGGGCACAGTGACTCACACCTGTAAAGCCAGCACGTTGAGAGGCCAAGGCAGGCGGACCACTTAAGCCCAGGAGTTCGAGACAAGCCTGGGCAACATGGCAAAACCCCTACAAAAAAAAATACAAAATTTAGCCAGGCATGGTGGCATGCGCCTATCGTCCCAGCTGCTTGGGAAGCTGAGGCAGGAGAATCACTTGAGCCCAGGAGGTTGAGGCTGCAGTGAGCAACTCCACTGCATTCTGGCCTGGGTGACAGAGCAAGACCTTGTCTCAAAAAACAAGAAAAAAGAAAAAAACAAACACAAACTTACATGTATGTGAAAAATAAGACCAATCCTTTGGTAGCCAAAGTTTCGAACATGGGTAAAAATTTACCTTGATTTAGCAGGAAATATTGGAAGAGGTTAACTCTAAAGCATCTTCTAGTATTACCTATTGATTAACATGTAGAGTCAGGAAAGGATTCACAATTATTGCAGAAGATGAAAGCAAACTGAGTGAGGTATCTAACAGTGCAAAGAGCCTAACCCTATTTCCATATTGCATATTTTAACTTCAAGAAGTACAATTTATCTTGATAAAAATGAAAAGATAGCTCCCTTCTGCCTACTAGGTGAAATAAAAAACTCATTTTCACAGCATTTTTTGGCTAATTCTATAAAACCTAGAAGACAAAGATCATTAGCACTGCATGCTGAATACATTTAATCTTTAAGATTGAAAGTATAATTAACACTATACTTTTTTTTTTTTTTTTGAGACGGAGTCTCGCTCAGGCTGGAGTACAGTGCTATGATCTCGGCTCACTGCAACCTCCACCTCCCGGGTTCACACCATTCTCCTGCCTCAACCTCCCGAGTAGCTGGGACTACAGGCACCCGCCATCACGCCCGGCTAATTTTTTGTATTTTTAGTAGAGACGGGGTTTCACCATGTTAGCCAGGATGATCTCGATCTCCTGACCTCGTGATCCGCCTGCCTTGGCCTTCCAAAATACTGGGATTACAGGCATGAGCCACTGCGCCTGGCCTAAATGTTTTTTAAAAGAGATAAACTGGGCAGGATATGTGAGCTGTTTGCTTGTGTGTAAACGTCAATTTTCTAACTGCCCTGGGCCAAACATGACAACTATGATTTTGTTTTAATAAAGTTTTATTGAAATATATCCACACCCACCCATTTTCAAATTGTCTATGGCTGCTTTCACTACAATGGCAGAACTGAGTAGTTGACAAAGAGACTGTAGGGTCCACAGAGCCGAAAATATTTGGTACCTGGCCATTTATGAAAAAACTTTGCCTTCTCCAGCCTTAGAAAAAAGAGATATGGACTGGGTGCTGGGCATGCAGTGGCTCATGCCTGAAATCCTAGTACTTTGGAAGGCCAAGGCAGGAGGATTGCTTGAGCCTAGGAGTAAGAGACTAGCCTGGGCAACAGGGCAAAGCCTCATCTCGAACTCCTGACCTCAAGAGATCCTCGCACTTCAGTCTCCCAAAGTGCTGGGATTACAGGCATGAACCACCATGCCTGGCCGCAAAACCTTATCTCTACAAAAAAATACAAAAATTGGCCAGGCATGGTGGTGTATGCCTGTAGTCCCAGCTACTCAAGAGGCTGTGAGGTGGGAGGATTGCTTGAGCCCAGGGAGGTCAAGGCTGCAGTGAGCTGTAAATGCACCACTGCACTCCAGCCTAGGCAACACAGTGAGACCCTGTCTCAAAAAATAAATAAAAACATACATAAAAACATTAATTTTAAAAAAGAGAGAGAAGAGATATGACCTGGATATGGTGACTTATGCCAGTAATCTCAGTAATCTCAGTTCTTCAGGAGGCTGAGGTGGGAGGATCACTTGAGGCCAGGAGTCCAAGACCAGCCTGGGCAACATAGCAAGACACCCTCTCTACAAAAAGAAAAAAAAGCCTAGCCAGGCATAGTGGTCCCAGCTACTTGGGAGGCGGAGGTGGGAAGCTTGCTTGAGCCCCGGAGTTTGAGGTTGCAGTGAGCCATGACTGCACCACTGCACTTCTGCCTGGGTGACAAAGCGAGACCCTGCCTTAAAAAAGAAAAAAGAAAAAAGAAAAAAAAAAAAACAGAGAGAGATGTGACTATAAACATTTTTAAATTGTGGCAGATCAGGAAAAAAAAAAAAAAAAAAAAAGATTGAAAAACTTTGCATCAAATAAAACATTTTATAAAGTTTACAGAAATCAGTTTTTTAGAGAGCACTAAGGATCTCAAATCTACTACCAGTTAAAGGACACAAATATTTCATTAAAAATAAAATTTACAGACATGAGCAGTGACTCGCGCCTATAATCCCAGCACTTTGGGAGGCTGAAGCGGGTGTATCGCCTGAGGTCAGGAGTTCAAGATCAGTCTGGCCAACACAGTGAAACCCCATCTCTACCAAAAATACAAAAATTAGCCGGGCATGTTGGTATGCACCTGTAATCCCAGCTACTTAGGAGACTGAGGCAGGAGAATCGCTTGAACCTGGGAGGCGGAGGTTGCAGTGAGCCGAGATCGCAGCACTGCACTCCAGCCTGGGCAACAGAGTGAGACTCTTTCTAAAAAAATTAAATAAAATAAAATTTACTAATAAACGTATTTATCTTTAACCTCCATGGGAAAGAAAATGTAAAGGTATTTCCTGAAGTCACACAATAAAGTAATAGACAAAATCTGTTACTCCTAATACACTAAATATATTTCTTACACATGTACAAAGATTAATTTCAATTCAGAATAGTCTAACGTTTATTTTTGGAAATCTGTAAATAACACTCTTCCGGAAAATATATTCAATGCAGTAATAAATGGAAGATAAAATTATATACATTATTGCAATTTGGTGTCTTATTCACACCTTTCTCTCCAAAAAACAAACCTATTTTATTTCCTATATTGCTATATGCAGATGTAAAGCCCACAAAATGTACAATACACTTTCTACAGTTTAAAGTAATTTTTCCAGAGACTCTTGGAAAACCTCTCCATTGTTAGTTGGGAAACTGTAAACATAAATTCTTAGCATCTTATTGTATTATTATTTTTTCTTTTGTCTCACTCTGTCATCCAGGCTGGAGTGCAATGGCGTAATCTTGGCTCACTGCAACCTCCGTCTCCCAGGTTCAAGCGACTGTCTCGCCTCAGCCTCCCGAGTAGCTGGGACTACAGGCGTGTGTCACCACACCCGGGTAATTTTTGTATTTTTTAATAGAGGTGGGGTTTTGCCATGTTGGCCAGGCTGGTCTCGAACTCCTGACCTCAGGTGATCCACCCACCTTGGCCTCCCAAAGTGCTGGGATTACAAGCGTGAGCCACTGCCCCTGGCCAATTCTTAGCACCTTCTTTATGGAGAGTCACTCTGGGCATTGCAGAGATACATGGAGAAAACCCAAACATTAGATTTTGTATAGAGTTAATTTTTAAATTTCTTTAAGTTTCTCAATCTCGGCATCATTGATATTTTTGGGCCACACAATTCTTTATTGTGGGAGGCTATCTTGTGCATTGTAGGATGTCTACCCAGCCTCTATCCATTACATGTCAGTGGAATGCCACTAGTCATGACAACCAAATATGTCTTCTGACGCTGCTTTAGAGAAACTTTTTCAGTTAATGGCCAAGCTGTCCCTCAGGAGTATAAAAGTCTCCCCCCAAGATAACCCCATTGGCCACCTACGAAAATAAATTCAAAATAACAACTTCACGTATTATAAGGAAATGATTACCTGGTTTGGTGAAAACATTGGAGGTCATCTCTTCATTCTATATCTCCAGCCTACCACTACCTGTATACTCACTGTATGCTTCCAGGTTTCTCTGAAATAGCCCTAAGAGGTCAGGCAAGCTTGGCTTGAACATTTCCAGTGATGGAGAACAAGATTTCCATTACCAGAAAGCTCTCTTTACTAAAATCAAAACAAAGCAAGCAAACGAAAACCACTGTTCTTCACACCAAGTGGAAACCGAATCTCCCTAAAGCTCCATCTCCTGGGCCCTAGTTATTTTATACACCTCTCAATTCATACTTCCCTGTTATTTGCAGTTATTTTCCCTGGTCTCTCAAAGACTGTAAGAAAGAAATCAGGCTAAACTTTGAGGGAAACAGCAATGCTCCCTGGTCATTAGGTAAATAAAGGTACAGGCTGCACATTCATTGTTTAAAAATATAATCTGTTGAATTAAATAAGCTTACATTTAATAAAAAATTCAAGTAATTTTAAAATAATACTTTATTAAAGAGTTAAAGTGAAGTACATTTTTTTACCTTATGTGTCTGAAAAAGATCATCTGACATATCAGAAAAACAACAAAAAGTATTAAAGAATAAGTATACTGATACCGTTCAATGGAAAAATTGTTAGTTTGTGAATAAAAACTTCAACATCCTACACATCACTTTAAATCCTGAAGAAATAAAACAACCCAACATCAATATTTAAAGTCATAATTTTACCAAATATTCTGGTTAAACCATTAATCAGATTCTTTTAAACTCAATAATATATTTGTAGTGTGGCCCAAGATGTACCAGTCTTATATTTACATGAATTTAGAAAGGATATTTTCTCATTGTCTTTAGTTTGACTTATGTTACCTTTTAGTGGCTTATTTTAAAAATCTCCTTTCTATAACAAGAACCTTTACAAAAAATTACTAAATATTCACCAAATTTACTACAAACACATATCAGATATAAATATTGTATGACTATGCTGACTTTTTCAATTCTCATAAAAACCCCAAAATGGAGACATTATTATTCTAAATTCCAGTTTGGAACACGATAAAACTGCAACTCAGAAAGATAAGATTCCTTGCCTCAATGCTAACAGAACAAGAGGTGGGATTCAAACTCAACTCATCTGATTTCAAGTTCAGTGGTTGCAGTTGTTCTTTCAAAGTTATTCAAGAATAACTTTGTTTTCATTTGATATAATTTATTATCAAGTTCATGGAGCAAAATTTTATTTACAGTCAGTCAAGAAAAAAACCTGTGAAGCAACTATGGTTTGGTTACACCTACAAACTGGTTTACACTTACAAACTACTCTGGGGGAGGGGAAAAAAAGTTGAATCCTATGAACAGCTAGTCTAAATTCATTTACTTTCCTTGAAAGAAGCAATTATCTACTGCTTTTAAAAAATAACCCATTTGACAAACATCGACATTCTTTAAGAGGACCCCCTAGCCCAATTAGGTATTTTAGCTTCAGTTTTGAATGAAAAAAAATAATTTAGCCAATATATACTGGTATTTTCCTTAGTGACTTGTAAGAATGGTGTGTGTAAGTTTAAAATATAAAGGATGAAGTGCAAGAACCAAAGACATTCCAGTGTTGTCAAGATGACAGACCATTATAAAACAAATTCTTCACTCACTCATTCATTCATTCAATATTTATTTATTGAGGGCTTGCTATATGTATAAGGCAAAAATAAACAAAATGAAAATACTACGCACTTTCATTCTGTATCAAAACAATACTGTCAGTAATAAATATAAAAGACAAAAAAAATTGAATTTATTTTGGATGACTGCGGCAAAGCACACCGGGTAAAAGACTCCTTACTTCTATTTCTGCAGATTCCACCCGGTTTTCAATTATTTCGATACATTGTCTCTTAGCTGGTGGTTCTTCACTTATAACAGTTTCTTCAGCAATGTCTGTTGCTGGTACTGTTAATACTAAAATGAAAAAAAAATTATGTATTATTTCATTTTCAGAGAGATTTATTAGAAATAAAACTAGTCTTGACACTGTTGATGCTACTCATCTAAAATAAGTACATTCTAAAACAATAATTCCAAATCATCGATCTGCTTTTTATGAGACTATCCATATATGTCTTTTTTATTACCTTCTTGCTTTTTTACTGTACCTACATATATTTTTTAAATTATATAGATAATATATTCATTCATGACTCAAACATCAAAATATTTAACAAGCATATTTTGAGAGGCTTCATGCCCACCCCGATAACAGATAATCATTTTATTAATTTATTATGTATTATCCTTATATTAATTTGTTTAAAAATTAGTATACATTCTCATTTTCCTTTCTTACATAAAAGGTAGCATATATACAACAGATACATTGTTCTGCATCTGCTTTTTTCACTCCAGATACTTACAGTATCTTACATCATTACATAGAGAGCTTCTGTTTATTTAGCTTCTTAATATCCACTAAGTGGATATTCCATTATGAGCACTGAGAGTTCATAAACATTGCTTGTTTTTGTATTGGACTGTTGGGCTTTTTCTCAGTTTTTAGTAGCTCTTTATATAAATGTAATTATATAGAGAGGTTGTCCTTGCTTTGCACAGCAGTACAGGAACATAAAAACGACTGTGCAAGCTGAAATCACGTGAAGCCATCCTAATAATCACAATGGGGAAAATTACAATTGTTCCATGGCCTTTAAAATTTTTTGCCAAAACATGAAAAACCCTCTTGGTGACAGCTATAAATGTAAATAAAAATTTTAAAATAGTAAAACTAATATTTATTTAGTACAATGTAATTTAAAACATTAGAGATATTGAGAATTCGAGTTTTCTTTTTTATTCATGACATTTATAAATTAACTTGGAAAAAAATGAGAATTTATATCTATTAGACTGTACAGTCTATATAATTCACATGTTAACTATATATTTTTTATCCAGGAAGGCTTTAAAAGTTTATTTTTTTTAAATATTCAGTAGAACTCTCTCATTGCTATTCTTTTCCAGAGTTTTCCTTATTCTTCTTCCCTCTGCCCCATCAACATAAACTTTAGAATCAATTTGGCTAATTACAGAAAAAAACGTGATCTTTGTTATGGGCTGAATGGTACTCCCACTCCCCAAATTCACATGTTGAAGTCCTAACCCCCAGTACCTCAGAGTGTGACTCTATTTGGAGACAGGGTCCTTAAACAGATAATTAAGGTAAAATGAGATGGGCCCTAATCCAGTACTACTGGTGTCCTTACAGGAAGAGGAGATTAGGACACAGACAACACAAACACACTGAGGTAGACCATGTGAGGACAGGCCAGAAGATGGCCATCTGCAAATCAAGGAGAGCAGCCTCAGAAGAAACCAAACCTGCCCCAAGACCTTGACCTTGCACTTCTAGCCTTCAGAGCTGTGAGAAATCATTAGTCTTCATAATGATACAGGTTTTGGAAACAATGTTACGTCTGCTTGATACAAATATTCTTAAAGCTTTCTTCTTTTCTAAAAATTAGAATTAGTTCTTTAACGCTTTGTGAAAGCATCTGACCCTAATCCAATTTCAGACCAGCTATCAGCAGAAGATTTCAGCAGAGTGGGACAGAATGGCCTCCCAGGCTTCACAGGCCAAGTGTTCCCTCTTCTACTGTTACAGCAACAAACTCCTTTCTCCAAATCTGGTCTCTGTTCAGTGTCATGCCTCCTCTGCCACTCAAAACCAAACCTGGTTTAGGTGAAGTTCTACCTCTAGCCCTGCCCTTCACTGGCCATGAAAGGCACACGCTCTACAATCCTACTCATTTTCTTTTCTTCTTTATTTTCTTGGAGACAGGGTCTCGCTCTGTCATCCACACTGGAGTGCAATGGTGCAATCATAGTTCACTGCAGCCTCAAACTCCCGGGCCCAAGCGATCCTCCTGCCTCAGCCTTCCAAGTAGCTGGGACTACAGGTTCACACTACCATACCTGGCTAATTTCGTTGTTTCTACTTTTGTAGAGACAAGTATCATTGTGTTGCTAAGGCTGGTCTTGAACTCCTGGCCTCAAGCAATCCTCCCACCTTAGCATTCCAAAGTGCTGGGATTATGGGCTTAAGCCACCATACCAGCCCTAGTCATTTTCTCCAAGATTATGTGTGGACACTATTTTTAGGGGGAGACAAGATACAGGGCAATGCTTAGTTAGATACTTTCTGCAGCTTCTCTCTCTGCCTCAGTATTCATGCCCTATTCTATCTTAGTCCTGCATTCAGCACTTCCTACTGAGTCTGGGGCCCTATACTTCTGAGAAAGCATATTTATCTTTATTGCTAACCCCTTTTCTTCCCTTGATGCACCAGTGTGGATTTCCATGAGAGTCCTCTTGCCCTCTGGCTGTAATGGCTTCAGATGCTTTTGGCAGCACTTAAAAATGTGGAATTCTGAGGTTTTCTCAGCCTTTTAGTTTTACTGAAAATGTAGTTGAGGCTTTTCTTTCATCTTGTTAGCCTTTGTGGTTTCCAAAAGGAGAAAAATGTTAGAATTCACAATAAAGCTGCTAAAATTTGCTATCATATTCCTACTACAAGTCCTAAGTCCACCTTTTTTTTTTTTTTCTTTTTCTGAGAAAGAGTTTCTCTCTGTTCCCCAGGCTGGAATGCAGTGGCACGATAATGGCTCACTGCAGCTTCAACCTCCTGGGCTCTAGCAATTCTGCCACTTCGAGCTCCCAAGTAGCTGGGACTATCAGTAAATGTCACCATGCCTAGCTAATTTTTTATAATTTTTTTAGACATGGGGTCTCACCATGTTGCCCAGGCTCCAACTTCTTTTTAAGTAGCTTTTTCTTATGTGATATTTTTAAAAGCTCACATGGTATTCCAATTGCATTAAATGATCTAGGAAACTATTGTCCAATGCTGATTTGAATTATTTATTTCAGGTATTATTTGTGGTGACATTTAAGCTCATTTTTAAACCAGAATACTTTAGGGCCAATTTCTCTTTCCACCTAGTATATACTCAGAGAAAGCAAGCTAATTTTAATTTTAATTAGCCTAAGCAAATAAAATTAGGTAATTAGGTGTCCTGCAAAGGGTTATACAAATATAACTCAAGGCAAAAATAAATTCTTTGGAACACATATCATAATTTCCTGAGAATTAAAAATAAACACAATCTCTTTGGACTGCAGAGAAGACTTAAAGAAAATAAAAATAAAATAAAAACAAACACAAACTTTATAAAAATGTCTACTACTAACCTTGTTGTCCATCTGGCATGGTCACAATGATGGGTTGACCAATTCCACTGGTTGGAATAGAGTGCAAATTTCCAAGCTGAATTCCATCTGTAACTATTGTGATGACTTGCTGACCCCCTGAACTAACTACTTGCTGAATGGCACCATCCACAGATTCTGCAGTAACTACTTCCTCCGTGGCCACTACTGGAAAAAAAAAATGAAAACTCAGCAAACATATGTAACAGTATGAATAGAAACCTATTATTGCTTTGTCTGCTACTTTTGCTTTCTCTGCTTCTTTCTTTTCTTTTTTTAAATAGAGACAGGGTCTCACTCTGATGCCCAGGCTGGAGCGTAGTGGTGCAATCATGGCTCACGGCATCCTTAACTCCTGCACTCAAGTGATCCTCTTGACAGCCTCCCAAGTAGATGAGACTGCAGGTATGTACCACCATCCCTGACTAGTTTTATTTTTGTAGGGATGAGGTGTTGCTATGTTGGCCAGGCTGGTCTCAAACTCATGGCCTCAAGCAAGCCTCCTGCCTTGACCTCCCAAAGTGCTGAGAATTACAAACATGAGCCACCACACCTGGTCCCCTGCTTCTTTCTTACCCAGGAAAATTTGTACATGGTTTTAAAACTCAGTCTCCAGTGGTGTTGGAAATATCTATGCAACCAGTTGATTACAAGTCTCTCGTAATTTACAATACATAAGTTTCAACTATCTTCACATGTGAGTGGTTAAACACTTTCTCTTCATTTGGTTGTATGAGGTACAAAATTTAGAAGATCTAATATCATGACGAAGGTTGTATCTGTTTCATAAAACCTCACAATTCAGTCGGGTGCTGGTGGCTCAGGCCTGTAATCCCAGCACTTTGAGAGGCCGAGGCGGGAGGATCACTTGAGGTCAGGAGTTTGAGACTAGCCTGGCCAACATGGCAAAATCCCGTCTCTACTAAAAATACAAAACTAGCAGGGACTGGTGGTGAATGCCTATAATCCCAGCTACTCAGGAGGCTGAGGCAGGAGAATTGTCTGAACCCGGAAGGCAGAGGTTGCAGTGAGAAAAGATCATGCCACTCACTGCCCTCTAGAATAGGCAACAGAACAAGACCCTGTCTCAAAACAAAACCAAAAAAAATCCACAATTCATAAGATGAATTTGAATATGATTATACTCCATTTACATTTATATATGAGTTGACATACAGAATAAAGAGTATTCTCTTTTTGGATTAAGTGAGCAAGGATTTGCCTTGATAATAAGTGGTATACAGATGTGGTACTATGTGATAGTAAATAGTATAATATATTAACATTTCCACAAATAAAATCCCCAAATACGCTCTTAATAATTTATGAGAGCCTTAGAGAGGATTCTGGCAGCAAAAGCAGCACCTGTGTCCTTGTCTGGGTAGAGAAATTGCAAGTTAATACTGCCAAAATCCTTTCTCACAGGCAATCCTACACCCACTACTGATCCCAAAAGACATGTAGAAGTACATGGTAGCTTTATTCATACTAGTAAAAAACTACAAACAACCCAGATATTCTTTGATAATAAATAAACAATGGTAGACTCAAACACAGCAATTTGACTGTATGCAAAACATGGGTGAAACTGACAAAAAAACAAAACTAAGTGATGTAAACCAGACACAAAAGAATATGTACTGTCTACCTTCCATTTATGAACTGAGCAATGTTTATACAATGTTTACAATTATCCTCTGTGAGCCCTTTGTGATAATTCCTCAAACTGCACACTTATAATCTATAAGCATTTCTGTATATTAAACTGCACTTCAATAAAAAAGCATCAAAAGGAATGATAGTAATGGATTACTATCCATTGAATTTTTTTTTTTTTTTTTTGAGACAGAGTCTCACTCTGTCACTAGGCTAGAGTGCAGTGGCGCGATCTTGGCTTACTGCAACCCCCACCTCCCAGGTTCAAGCAATTCTTCTGCCTCAGCCTCCCGAGTAACTGGAACTACAGGTGCATGCCACCACACCCAGTTAATTTTTTTTTTTTTTTTTTTTTGTATTTTTAGTAGAGACGGGGTTTCACCACATTGGCAAGGCTGGTTTCGAACTCCTGACCTCGTGATCCACCTGCCTTGGCCTCCCAAAGTGCTAGGATTACAGGTGTGAGCCACCACACCCAGCCTGAATTTTAAAAAATCTTTCTATCTGATTCATGCCTATAATACCAGCACTCCAGGAGACCGAGGCAGTATGATCACTGGAGCCCAGGAGTTCAAGACCAGCCTGAGTAACAGTGAAATCCTGTCTACAAAAAATTTAAAAATTAGCCAGGTTTGTTGGTTTACACCTGTAGTCACAGCTATTTGGGAGTCTGGGATGGCAGGATCCCTTGAGCCTGGGAGGTTGAGGTTGCAGTGAGCAGTGATCACAACACTGCACTCCAGCCTGGGTGACAGAGTGAGACTCTATCTCAAAACAAAAAAAAAAAATCTATCATAATACCTCATAAAAAGGAGAGAAAGGAGGAAATGGGAAAGGTCCTCCTGATAGAAAGACATCTAATTAACATTGAAAAAAGACAAGTTAAAATAAATCATTGTAACTCCTAACGTAATAATTGCTTCAAGCGAGGATCAGTAGTGGGTGCTAAAAGCACTGGTAAAACCTTGTGGGGAAACAGGATATTCAAATGTTCTCAAAGTATCCCACCAAAGATTACTATTAGTTGCAAAGGGGAAAATCTACCTGAAAAGAGCCGGCAGTCACAATTCCACCAAGTGGTTCTTATCAGGATGGGCTGATATTATGTGCCTCCTTACGTGATGCACTGGGAGGTTACAAAACTCACTGGTGTTCTTCCTGGAAATGTCTGAACTAAATCTGACTATAAATGACATTTGGAGGACAACTTGAAAATGGACCATATATCAGATAATTTTTGTGATTAATGTTGATGTTTTTAGAAAATAAAATGAAGCTGTGGATACGTAGAAGGCTATTCTTACTCCTGAGATATACATGCCAAAGTAAAGGTGAAGTATATCATGATGTCTCCAGCCTCCTTTCATATAACTTGGCAAAATAAAGGGGTGTGTGTGTGTGTGTGTGTGTGTGTGTGTACATGCACGCATGTGTCAGAGAACATACGGGCATGCCAAGATGTTAATAGTTGGTGAATACAGGTCAAAGTTATACAGGTTCATCCTCCAATTTTTCTGTGGGTTTGAAAACTGTCTACATATAAAAAAATTAATTATAACTAGTTCAAAAAGAGGAATGATATTAAAAATTATTTCTAAATGGCATGGTTTTTAATGTGTTATTTACACATTACAAAAGTGTAATTACAAAAAGGGTAATTTTACAAAAAGTGTAATTAAATAAAACCACTCTACTAAAATCGAGCTACCATCCAGATACACAGTTGCTCTGAAACATGCTGAGTTTCTATCAACTCACAGTAGGGCATCATGGATATCAGTGATCACAGGATTTACTAAGACAGAGAGGCCATAAATATAGGAACTGCTTTTTTTTTTTTAAGGCAGGAAAAATACTAGGAAACTGGTTTTCACGATGTACTCAACAGGCCTGGCTTCGACTGTTACTGTGTTACTTAGTAATCAAGGATCACAATACAAACCACAGAACACTCAAAATGCAAACAATCTTTATGTTTTGAGCTCTCTTGTAATTTTTGTTTACCTTAAACTATGATTAGGTTTTATCACCAAGCACTTAAGAAAATTTCAGGAAGATAATTACAAAATGAAAAGTAGGACATAAAATAGTAATATAGTCAACAGAACTACTACTGAGATTTTCAAACACATTAAGTATTGCTTTGATTTTTTCAAAAAACTATCCATATGAAAAAGAAATGTTCACTTGAGTTGAATACTAACTACAGTTAGTAAATATTTTAAAGCTTAATCATATGTAAGAAATTTCTAAGATCACACACAAGGCACAATTCAAGAACTTTCATCTTTGCACTATTTGCAATGACTATTATTAAAATAAAAGAGTTCTTGCCTTTCATCTAACAAGCTTTCTTTTTAAGTTGTGCTATGGTAAGATATTTAAGAAAAAATTAAAAGGAAACCAATTATGTAAGACAAAGTGCCCCCCAGAAGCTTTAAGAACAATCTAACAGTAAAATGTTGAAACATGTAAGAATAAAAGAGAAAGCCTAAAAACTCTTAAAAGATTATTGATTTTTAAAAATATATTTACATTCCAAAACATAAAGCTCCCTGGATTAAAAAAAACTATAACATAAATATTCACTGATCTAATTCAAAAGTCAAGTTGTAATATTTAAAGAAAACCTAGATAATCTGCAGCACCTTTGAAGACGTCTGAGATCTCTTGTTCAACAAGAATTCTGAATTTGGATGCCATAAAAATGAAATAAGACAGGGAAGAACACTGTCTTTGAAATGCCCTAAAAGACTGAAAATTCTACATAGAAACATTTAAATAATAAAACAGAAACTACGGGCCGGGCGCAGTGGCTCATGCCTGTAATCTCAGCACTTTGGGAGGCCAAGGCGGGTGGATCATGAGGTCAAGAGATCGAGACCATCCTGGCCAAGATGGTGAAACCCCGTCTCTACTAAAAATACAAAAATTAGCTGGGCGTGATGGCGCACGCCTGTAATCCCAGCTACTCAGAAAGCTGAGGCAGGAGAATGGTGCAAACCTAGGAGGAGGCGGAGCTTGCAGTGAGCCAAGATCACGCCACTGCACTCCAGCCTGGGCGACAGAGCGAGACTCCGTCTCAAAAATAAATAAAATAAAATAAAATAAAATAAAATAAAATAAAGTAAAATAAAAATAAAATAAATAAAGTAGAAACTATGTTCATTGAAGAAAAAAAAAAAACTTTTCAAAGGTATTATGGCAGCAGTTTAACCTGAAATTAAAAACAAAAAAGCAAAAACAAAACAACCTCATGAGGCCCAGTATGTATCCCTTAAAGCCAACTGAGTTGTATTACCCTATTTTTTATACAGACCAAAAAACAATCTGCAAAACAGATCTGGTTCAAATTTCACTTTTAGGAAGAATGGACGGAACTTTTTATTTTTATTGTTTTTCTTTTTTGAACCCCTATTTTGACACATAAGAAAGGAGGGAAATTTTAAAGGCACCAGATGCATTACACCTTTGGAAAAACCACTTTATTAGTAATTACCAGAAGTTGCTCT